GTTATTTCCTTCTCAATTACACAACACAGACTCATCATGTCCTGGAAGGCAGGTGTTTATTTTTGCTCCCCGGTTTCTCTGGTCCACAGGAATCTGTCAGACTTTAAAGGGTCATCAGAACATGCATGCTTGAGGTAAGGATGCAAACAAAACCTCATGGCCCCAAAGAGGCTGGTACTGGCTCACTGTGGTGCAGGTGGGCAATGTGCTTGGCTACTGTGTGAGTCTGGGTTGGCTAGAGAAACAAATTCATAGACACTCATGTGTTTAAGAAATAGATTTATATACAAGAGCAATTGTATATTGAGAAAACATCCCAGTCCAGTCCAGATCAAATGCATAAGTCCGATATTAGCCTATATGCCAGACACAAATCTATAAATTCCTCTTTAGACTCACAAAACATATGCAATGACACCGAATGCAGGAAGATCACAGGCCAGTGGGTGGAAAGTCTTGTGGATCCAGTGGTAGTGGAAGCATCTCAGTGCTGTCAGGGGTGTCCACATGGCTCCTCCAGCTCCAGGGCTCTAGGGTAGCTCCATGTGTCTTGTCATCAGGAATGTCTCACAGGGAGTGTCTGTGTGTCCTGCCTCCTTTGTGCCTCCTAATGATGTCATCCAGCTGCGACACAATTGACAGGCGAGACTACCCTTTCGCAAGTTGACAGTAGATTATGTAATTGCCACAGCTGTTAACTGAAAAGTTTCTGGGTCAAGTCCACTCAGAGGCACCTGGGAAGAAAAGTCAGGTGGTGATCTACTCCAGAAAAATCAGTCACGAAAATCCCTATTGAGCACAGTTCTACGGAGACGCACAGGGGTTTCCATGAGTCTGAATTGACTGGATGGCCACTGTTTGGTTTGCAATGTAACCCTTTCACCCTAGTGTATCTGTGATTGCAGCTGGAGATCCATGCTGTTCTGTGCACATCCCACAGGCCCCATCTTCTGTTTTAGGCAGCGTTCCTGTCAAAACGGACCGTGTGAGTCCTTCCTTCAAAGCAGCTACTGCTGTGTCCCACGCCCTCAGGTGGCTATGGTTGGACAAGCTATTTTCCTGAGGTGAATAGAGAACTACAGGGAAAGGAAATTTCTGTCCATCTTATTGATTTACATGAAAAAACCAAATAGTTGAATTTCAGCTCTTGGGTTTATATGACTGCACCTACTAGGCCAGTGATCTTCCTGCATGAGGCTGCGTGAATCCGAAGAAGAGGGACTTGGGGGCTGATACTGGACTCTGGGACCGGAGTTGAATTGGGCTGGATGCTCTCTTGATATATAATGACTTTTTAATATAAAATACATATATTCACTCTCTTCCGGTCCCTGGCGCTCTGGGAGTTGAGGCGTTGGTGCAGACATGGCCAAGTCCAAGAACCACACCACGCACAACCAATCCCGGAAATGGCACAGAAACGGCATCAAAAAACCCCGGTCACAACGATATGAATCTCTTAAGGGGGTGGACCCCAAGTTCCTGAGCAACATGCGCTTCTCCAAGAAGCACAACAAGAAGGGCCTGAAGAAAATGCAGGCCAACAATGCCAAGGCTGCGGCTGCTCGCACTGAGGCCATCAAGGATCTTGTGAAGCCCACAAAGGTCAAGACCAAGATCCCAATGGGCATCAACCGCAAGCTCAGCCAACTGGCCTACATCGCCCACCCCAAGCTTGGCAAGCGGGCTCGGGCACGTATTGCCAAGGGTCTGAGGCTCTGCCGGCCCAAGGCCAAGGCACAAAGCAAGGCTGACGCTCCAGCCAAGGCCACGACTCCAGCAAAAGCTCCCAAAGGTGCCCCGGCCCCAGCTCAAGCTCCCAAAGGTGCCCCAGGCCCCACAAAGTAGAGTTCTCTGCGTAAGGGCGAGAGGGACTGGTGTGAGCCTGGACTGTGGCCTGCATGGCGCTGGTGTCTTCTTGTGCTGTTGGTTGTACAAAAAAACCCAGGTGGCGCTGTTAAAAAAAATATATATATATACATACATATATATATATACATACATATATACACACACATATATATATATTCACTGAATTGTTTTCTCTAGTCAACCTGGCCTACCTAATATACCAACCCAACCAAAATTTCTTCTCTGCTCAGCTTATTGCTAGAGGTGAACACTTTAAGAAAATGGTAGTTTGTGTACATTTCAAAATAAAATACCTAAATAAAAAATATAAATAAAATCCCTTGGCATAGAACTTTTTCCTTCTCCTCTTGCTAGTTGGGAGAGCGTAGAATCTTCAGGAAGCACCTCTGGACCCCCGGGCTCTTCCTGGCTAATGAGTGGCCTGGCCTCTCTGTTTCAAGCGCTAAATCAAAGCCCTTCTTGGGGCCAGCTAATGTTGGCCACGTCATGTCTGTGTTTCCAGGCAGACTTCAGGCTGGGAAAGCCTTTTGCTAAGAGTCAGACAGCGTATATGCTCCCTTGTTCTGTGCTTGTGTGTGTGTAGTGGTGTAAGGCCGAACTTGGGTTCGATTTTTGTCTTTTTTGTGCCTTCTGGAGCCCTGGTGATGCAGTGGTTATGCGTAGGGCTGCTTGATCTGCACGGTCTGCAGTTCGAAACCACCAGCAGTTCCGAGGGAAAATGCCTTGGCTTTCTGCTCCTGTAAACAGTTACAGTCTTGGAAACACACAGGGGTCCCTATGAGTCAGACTCGATGGCGGTGGGTTTGGTCGGGTGTCCGTTCTACCTAGTTTCCCATGTGGATTCCTGGACTCCTAGTTACAGCACGGAACCCAGGAGTTGCGTGGTCTGGAATCAGCTTTTACAGCCCGCTTATTCTGCACTCTGGAATCTGGGCTTGAAAGCCTATGGTCCCTAAACTATTGGCAATGAGGTGAGACAAATGCGTATTACTTCTCTTGCTATAAACAGAACCCGTCCACTTCAGTAGATCTTTCCTTTCTTTTTAGTGGAGAGTGGAGGGGAGTGACTGTGTTCACTACACATATTGAGCATACTCTCAGCAGTTAATATCTTTGAATCATGAAAACACCCCTCTCGCAACTGCCGTGTTTGCTTCTAGGGCATGCCTCCCCGATTCAGCCCCGTAACCAGCTGTCTGGGAAGCCCATGAAAAGATGACGCCGAAGGCACCCATAAAATCATTTCACCCAAACTTTTGTCATCAAGACGATTCCAGCTCACAGCCACCCTCTAGGACAGAGTAGCACAGCCCTGTTGGTTTCTGAGGCTGTAACTCTTTACGGAAGTAGAAAGCCCCATCTTTCTCCCGCAGTGACTGTTGGTTTTGAACTGCTGACTTTGTGGTTAGTAGCCCAGCTTGTAACCCACGACACCACCTAGAGACACGCAATTGTCAGTTGATGATGTCATTGTTTGCCACTGCGTTGATTCTGACCTGTGACCACCCCATGCGTGTCAGAGTAGAACTGTGCTCCACAGGGTTCAATGCAGGTTTTTCAGAAGGAGATTGCCAGACCTTTTTTCTGAGGGGCTTTTGGGTGGACTTCACTGACCAGTCTTTCGGGTAGCAGCCAAGCATATTAACTGTTGCTCCAATCATGAACCCCTTATCAGATGTGAACAATCAGTTATCCAGTGCTCTTCATGGGCCAGCTCTACACTTTATAGATGAATATTTTCTCTCATTCTATCACCACGCAGTCTTTATGAGGAAGCGTGCGATTCAGAGAGGTTCAGTAACTTGCCCAGGCTCACGGAGCTGTGTGGTTTACACTAGAATTTGCTGCCTGTTTCTTCTCCTGTTCACACCCTAACTGTGACACTGTACCCATCACCTTGCTGGCAGCGGGTGGATGGATCAGACCAACTTCATCACACATTGAGTCTGTAGTATAGGTTTGGTGAGACTGTAAATCTTTATGGGAGAAGACAGCCTTGTTTTCCTTCCACAGAACATTGGTGGGTTTGAACTGCCAACTCTGCTGTCAGCAGACCAGCACCTAAACGGTGGCTCCATAGCTCCTGTTCTGCAAAAGACGTCTGCATGTCTGTATGTCTCCCTGTTTGCGGTCCTTCTGCTGTTCTCCAGAGATAGCTTCAGGCAGAAACACACCCCCACTCGATTTTCCATCACTCTCTGCTTCTTCATGATCCCCCTTTCCCTCACTTCTTTCCCCCTCCAGACTGTACTCTTCCCAGTCTCAAACTCGATGGGGTGCTGGGTGACACCTGAAGCACAAGTGACCCAACTTCCTGAGGGGGACCTGCCAGGTGCTGCCCTTCCTTCCACCCTGGGTCTTGTGTGTGGGGGTGTTGCTGGGGCTCGGGGTGCAGAACCTGTCTTGGTTCCTCTGTACTAGACTAGCTTGGACCCAACCCTATTTTTGTCTCTGGGGCAGAGTTTTCAAACATGAGAATGGCCTTTCACCCAAGAACATTGAGTCTTCTCCCCAAGGCAGACCCTCTTTCAGTGGTTGTGGTGGTGCTAATTGTGGGAAGAGGAGGAGAGCCACCATCCAGGGGGCTACTTTTAAAAAAATCGTTTTATTAGGGGCTCATACAACTCTTATCACAATCCATACATACATCAATTGTGTAAAGCACATTTGTACATTCATTG